GTAACTGCAGTGAAATCTGTAGGAAACTGAACCGAGATTGAGAACAGCTTGTGGGCTGAGGTTGCTCCATCCTACCATCCACCTTTCAGCCCAGTGTGTCTTTATTCACTTCGCTGTGCGGCCGCACATGCTGGAAACAACCTCCGGATTATTTTCTGGATTAGAAGTGATCGACACCCGCTGATCAGTGTGAGCTCAATTGAGCAGGGAGTGACACGCTCATCGGAGCCTCCAGACAAACAAGGATAACTACTATCTGGAGTCACAATCCCACACTAAGATACACCTCACAGAATTTACTCCATCCACGTTTAAACAGGAGACCCTACAAGGACTGTCCCTCATCGCAAACCACACAGGTTGTGAGTACGCTCTGATACATTGTATCCGTCTTTAAAACACATCAATGTGTATATATTAGTGACTATTTACCACTGAGGTGGTCTCTAGATTATCACTCGTATTACTAGAAGTGGAATTTCAAGGGGATGTCTTTTTACTTGTTTTTAGATGTCTTGTTATATTGGATCCTATGTGCATTTTTCTTTGTCATTAAATATATTTTTTTATACATCATTACCATTTTGTGTCACCTGTTTACCTGATCAGCTCCAATATAGGGATTTCTTTGTTTGGGGAACCTTCTTTTTTGAAACAAAAAGGGTTACTCGCTGATCAAGCAATGGCCTTCCGTGACTAGCACAATAGGAGGCACTGGCAGGCCTTGAGGAGAGCAGGCAGTAGCTGTGAAAATGTATGCCAGAGAGTGTCATGGCCCTTCCAGGGGGGCAGATACCCACCCATGTATGTCAGTTTGAACAAGGTATAAATGTATTGCAGCACATATGGGGCACGTGCAACAGACTAAATTAAGGGTCACAGAGCTGTAATAGAGTATCTGCAACACATTTAAAAGTATTGTAGCTCCAGCAGTTAAAGGAGAACTATGAGGTGAATGCTTTTCACTCACCTCATAGTTATAGCGGACCTGTGACAATGAGACTGTCACAGGTCGGCTCAGTAGATCGGGAGGTGAGCGAACACATATCGGCGTTCGCTCACCTCTCGATCCTGTCACGGCTCTCTGCTGTGACAGGGGAGGGGCTGAATCCCCCCCTCCCCGCTCCGATCCGCCAGCGCTGACTGGCAGAACGGACGGGGGAGGGGGCGGGTACAGCTGGCTCTGCCTCTAGGTAGGCAAAGCCAGCTTTCTGTCACGCAGCTGGGCTGATCCAGACATAATTGTCGGGATCCGCTTACCTTGCCCTCCCAAAGAACATACCCCCCTAAGAGTCTTCAGGGACAGGGCTTCAGATGGAAAACGGCCCTGGGCTACCCTGTGGCTAACTCAACATGTTGCACTATGTGCCAAGGTAAGCATCTCACGAAGGGTCCAGTGCCCAATGCAACACTACAAGCCAGTCCAAAGTCTTCTACCTGACAGGGTGCGAGTACAATCCCCCAAGTCTCAGCTGAGGAGTGAACTGATCCTGAAAGCTTCAAAATGGAGTGCCACAGTGCCTATGTAGGAGCTACAAATCTTGCTAGAGTCTTGATAAAATAATAATAAATAGAAATGGTTTGCTTCGCTCAGAGCAGAGAGAAAACATAAATTCTCTTAAGGGCACTAGCACAAAACTACTGGGAGTGTCACAGTTCCTTGTACATTGATCCGGCGCCGGGTTTTGCCTCCTGTCCAAGCTGCTCGTTTTCCTGTCAATATGCCCTGAACCTAGGTGTTAAAAGGCTTGTGCACCTGTGATTTAGCTTTCGAGCAACGTGTCTCCACACTAGTAGCCAGACCTCTGTTTTCTGCGGCACTTCTGTTTGAGTATACCTTGTATTATGTTTATTTGCTTGCTCTTGTTGTTTTCAGTGTTCCCTTCCTGCTGTGCTCTTGCATTCCCTCTGTTTTCAGTCCGTGTACCTCTTTGGTTGGCTGCGGCTGTGAGTTTCTCCACAGCATGGTTTCCTGCTATGTTTTGAAGTTGACTCCTGCTTCCTGTGATTATTCTGCTCTCCACTATTGTGCACCTCCCTCCTGTTTCCTGTGCATTCCCCTATGCTGTTACGGTGTATCTCTTGTCTCTGTGGGTACACTTGTTGTGTGTTCCCTTCTGTTACCTGCTCCCCGTGTCACACATGTTCCCTGTGTGTTCCCTCTAGTGCCTGTTTTCTGTACCTTGTATCCTTTATGCACCCTGTGTCTTGTCCAGCGTGCTGTGGTCCCGGAGTACCCGCTGGCACTGTGCCCGCATCGGTGTGTCAGAGAGCCGCAACCTGGAGCTTCCCCGCAGCTCAACATCCACACCATCAGTGGCTCTGGTGAAGACCAGGCGGCTCTGGCACACCTACGTTTGTTGTGCGGAAGGAAGCATGAAGTGCTCCAAAATCTCCTGGTAGATGGCTGCGTTGACCCTGGACTTAATGAAGCACAGTGGACCAACACCAGCAGATGACATGGCTCCCCAAATCAACACAGACTGTGGAAACTTCACACTTGACTTCAAGCTTCTTGCAGTGTGTGCCTCTCCATTCTTCCTCCATACTCTGGGTCCTTGGTTTCCAAATGAGATGCAAAATTTGCTCTCATCAGAAAAGAGGACTTTGGACCACTGAGCAACAGACAAGGTCGGTTTTTCTTTAGCCCGGGTAAGACGCTTCTGGCGTTGTTTGTTGTTCAGGAGTGGCTTGAGAAGAGGAATACGACATTTGAAGCCCATGTCCAGGATCCGTCTGTGTGTGGTGGCTCCTGATGCACTGACTCCAGCCTCAGTCTATTCCTTGTGAAAGTCCCCAACACTTTTGAATGGCCTTTTCCTGACAACCCTCTCCAGGCTGAGGTCATCCCTGCTGCCTGTGCACCTTTTTCTTCCACACTTTTCCCTTCCACATAACTTTCTATTAATGTGCTTTGATACAGCAGTTTGGGAACATCCAACTTCTTTTGCAATTACCTTTTGAGGCTTTCCCTCCTTATTGAGGGTGTCAATGATGGTTTTCTGCACAACTGTCAGGTCAGCAGTCTTTCCCATGATTGTGATTCCAACTGAAGCAGACTGAGAGACCATATAAAGGCTCAGGAACCTTTTGCAGGTGTTATGGATTAATTAGCTGATTAGAGTGGGACACTTGGAGCCTAGAATATTGCACCTTTTCACAATATTCTAATTTTCTGAGATTGTGGATTTGGGGTTTTCATGAGCTGTAAGCCATAATCATCACAATTATGACAAATCACGGCTTGAACTATCTTGCTTTGCATGTAATGAGTCTATCTCATATATTAGTTTCACCTTTTAAGTTGCATTAGTGAAATAAATGAACTTTTGCACGATATTTTAATTATTCTAGTTTCACCTGTATGTGTGGTCTGCTTTACCTGTGTTTTCTCTGTACGAGTAGATTTCTCCACTGGAGAAAAGGTGAAACCCTACAGCCTTTTCTCCACAGCCACAGACATAAGGCATAGGTGCTTTAAAACAATTAAGAGGGAGCAGGGAAGTAATATTTTTATTTGTTTATAACCTACCTCTCATCAATCCAGAACACTTGCGGAACAGACTTTTTAGGAACTGTTGTATATTGCTGTCACTAACCCAGAACAAGTATGCCTATCAAGAACATGAAAATCAAACGTCCTTGACTAAACATATGCTCTGGTTTAGTGACACAAAGCGCTAAAGCCAGAGGGTCTGCATGACAGCCAGGCAACTCGCATTTGCAGAAGAGAAGCCAGCAATGGTACCCTCCATGTTTCTTTCAGGGAGGGTTTTCTTATAATATATATTACATACACTAAAGAATTTGGTCTTTCCAGAGTAGGGGCCAACTAGATCACTAACATGCTTGGTCAGCATCAAAATGTTCTCTGATAAATGGAAAAGAAATGTGGTTTTTAAAAAGAAAAGTTAACTAGATGCTTTTAGGGTGCAACAGGTTGACAGAGAAATAAGAATTACCTATAGATACCACGGAAGCATGGGAAATTTAAATGTACATTTTTAAAGCATATTCAATCTATAAGCATATATTTACACCAGAATGCAGAGTGGCACTGCAGTGATGTGATACTGGAGGTGCACCGGTGTGCCATTCCTCAATGCTCTAATGCGCACGTTTTACTGCAACGTGGATGCATGTGCACCAGGAAACATAAGTCGATTTGCACCAGGAAGATACCATCTCACCATAAGAATAGGAAAAAAAAACAGCAGCTACTCCACCTGTGCTTAAGTTGAAAATGCCTAATTTATTGTGGAAAAAACTTGCAAAAAAAGATGTTAATGATTTGGAGCATAGTACCTGCTTTGTCGGACAAATCTAAATAAACTAAATGTAAAACGTACAAGCATCTGTACAATGGGTGCACCATATTTATGTGCAGTTATATTTATTTTTCATTCAGGAAACAATTCGGCTTTCCAGTATCCATAGTTCCTGTGCTCCTCTTTTACTGAACAACTATCAAACAGAGACCTGGCATATGCTCAATAGCAATACACTCTCTTCTTTGGCATGGTCATCTACTGGACAGTATTTGGCAACACTGCTGCTCGTGTTTACATGTCTACATTATTTCTCTCAAAGGGTATATCTAATGACTGCTAATTAGGATTCAGTATATAGATTCTAACCTAGGCCCACCAACCCACATGCTCCTTTCCACTATTTTCTACTGGTTTACCTATTAGTTTCTGATTGGCTCATTGCACTCCCTGCATTTGTGTTGAAGATATGCATAGTTTAAAATATCTTCAAATGCATATATTTGTTTATTCATTGCATTGCCTGATAAAAAGAGGTTCTATTCTCTGAAATGTTACTTTTTTTTTTGAGTGGCTGCCATTTTTGCTTCGTTGCATATCTTCCTAAAATACTGGAGTAGTTGCTGCTGTTTTTTGGACTTTTGTTTGTTGGCAAATACAATCAGTGCAAATCTATACGTCGCTCTTTCTAGTTTATACTTGTCATTAACCATTTTATTTCATTCCACTTACCGCAGCCTAGTCAGATCAACGTCTTTGTGTGCCAGCTCAGTCTGTTTAACAGCAACCTGCGATGACAGGCTGTTTATTTTATTGTGCATAGCCTCCATCTGGTTAGCAGCTTCTTTTAAATTCAATTCTAGAGCCTGTAAGAGATGTAGAGGTAGTATAGAAACATTGTCACAAACAGTGTATTGTCAAATTAGTGTGTTTTTTTTTTTTTCATTCTCGAGTCCACTAAAATGCATGTATGTCATTGTTAATTGTATTTCACACATGAACTGCCAGTGTGTAATGACACATTTGTGAACTCCAATGGTGAATACAAATGTATTCAAATATAGCCAGGTGACATGTATGCAGGCTAAGGCCATTCATTCCATGTGTCTTTCTGCGTCATTCCATGTGTCTTTTACAACACAAACAAAACAAATGGCAAACGCACTCATCAATTTGTAACTAGCTCTAAGCAAGGTGCACATGGAAGGCCTTAATACAGTACAACGGCAAAAAGTTTACCTGCACACTCACCAGCCAGCATGCAAAAAAACTTGTCTCACCGCTAAGGTTAAAAACAGAGGTTTAGATACATGTCTAGAAAATGGAGCTGGTTACAATGGAGCTGGTTACAAACAGATGAGTGTGTTTGCCATTTGTTTTGCTTGACTGATTTGGTGCAGAGGGGGGCGCTTGGGGGGTCTCAGCTGCCGTTGTCATGTGTGGGGTCCCTTGTGCGTTCCTGTGACTTTAGGTGCCATTGGGTAAAGTTTTCTTAGAAGGAAGCCCAGCCTTCCTAAAGGCATAGGAACGCACAAGGGACCCCGCACATCACAACGGCAGCTGAGGCCCCCCATGCATCACTGCACCAAAGTCAAGCAAAACAATGTCATAATTCACCGTATTGGCTGTTATAATTCACCGTACCACAGCTAATAACATAATATAGTATAGCGGTTGACTAACAGTACAGGGAACTATATTGTGACTTCAATTGAATACTGTTTTAGGCCACAAAATTAACCGTCCACTTATATACAGGTTCTTTTTTAAATAGTGTAGCAACGTTCCACACGCCACTGTAGCAACGTATTGGGTAAGCACACATGTATATAATGACATTAGCATGCAACATTAGCATTTAATAAAATCAACCACTATCATGTTTTCAATCTTTTTCCCTATATGGGGTTTCTAGACAATCCATTTAACAATGAATATACAAATATAAATCTTAATTTTCTAATTTGAAAGTGGCATAAACGTAAAAAAACACATATTAAAAAACACACTATACTGTAGCTCTTCAATAATATTTAAAATACATGTTTGCGTATATAAAACAACACATATATAATAAAATTCACTTTTGACTTCCCTTTAGTAAGTGGTGGTTTTTATCTGTCAAAGTAGCACAATGTCAGCAGACATATTCTAGAGGTGTGCCACAAGCCACAAACTGCTGTATACAGCATTGGCTTTCTTTTTTTTTAATAACATAAACAGAACATTCAGGGCATAGCAGCAAAGGCATTTGAAACAAAATACTTTGCAATTCTTTCCATTCCAAACATATGTATTCTTTAAGTTTTCTGCAAGAATGAAGTCTGTTACACTGTTTAATGATTAGACTTAAGGATGGCTATTTGATGTCAGTTTCCTGCTTTGCAGCATTCATTTTTAAAGAGTTGTGGGTTTTAAGTGTAGGAATTTAAATTAATGTCGGTCCCAACTGGCATGTTTGAATACATAAGTTGTTATCACAGCAAATAACGCAAAGCATAAGTGCACGCCACAATGTAGTTTGAAAAATCATGTGAAGGAATCCAGCTGCTCTGCAGCATACCTTAATTTTGGCATCAATGCCAGACTTGTCTCCTCTCCACTGTGCCTCCTGCTTCTTTGCTTTCTCCAGGTCACTAAGCAGGTCAGCACATTTCTTGTTTAAATCTTCTTTCTCCTGCTCCAAATTTTTTAAAATGGCTGCCCTCTGCTCCTCATTTTTCTCCAAACTCTGCTTAGTGTTCTGTTTGACAAAAATCAGAATCGCACATTACAGCCCCAGAAATAATTACACATGCAGTCGACAATCAATCAACAATGTTTAATTAAGTGACCTCAGTCCTCAGCCTGCAAGAAATAGCCGTGCTTTTTTACATTTTTATTTTTTTAGTTATGCAGGTGAAAGGGACTTTTTTCTTACTGAATGACAGTTCTGATGAGCGCACACATGCAAGAAATCCTTTAATTGATCAAGATGCCTTTGATGATGTCCCCAGCTATTTTTGAGACCCGTACAGACACATCATTCCAGACCTTAGGTTTATCAATTAATAATACTAGTCCCATCAGTATGTAATTAAAAAGAAGTCACATATTCACACTACTTTCACTTGCTCCATATCCATCATTAAGTATTTATTTGAAAGTTATAAGCCTCAGATTCTCGACTTTAAAGAAGTGCTCAGAGTAGGCTGTATGAGAAAGAACTGTAAAGCTAAGAGAAGCCTGAGGCAATTCTTCTGCAGTGTATGTCCCTTTCTGTGGCACACTGAGTGACACAGCTTGAAGCTCAGCACTTCACAGTAAGACAACTGGAAAAATATGTACAAGACAAGCTACCTTAAGCTCCTGACTTTTATCTTTTAATTTTAGTTGGAGGTCATCCAACTCCTTTTTCAGTACGGTATTTTCTTCGTCTACAGCGATCTTTCTCTGTACGAGGTTGTTTATCTCCTGCTGCTGTCCCAATACTCTCTAGAAACAGAGAAAGAACAGAGGGGGAAAAAAACAAGGCAATGTCACAGCAGTACTTTATGTAGCAGATGCCATGCATTTTGCAAACATACACTGTCTGATTTAAGTAAAAAAACAAAGCAAAACTCTGAAAGGATATATTCTACATAAATATTGGTGCAGGTGGTATTAAAAAGAACATGTTTCAAGGTATGCAGCCTAAATGAAATATAAAGACCTTCTCTATGTATTGTCCATTAAACCTGAATACCTACAGCCCTCATTTGTATGGGGGTGTGTGCTGGTTCAGTTAAGAGCTCCAAATCATAGATCTAACAGTAAAGTATCCAATTAAATTCCATGTAGTAGTTTTCCAACGCAGGTAGAGAATGGTCACTAAAACAGGACTGGTTACTATGGATAGCTTAGATTTTTTTAGTTATCCAGTTGCCCAGTTTTAATGTATTGGTTGCATAATTAATATATTATATATCAGGACCTCTATAACCATACTAATCTGACAAGACACATGTTTGATTCCTTAATATAATGTACAAAGAAATATAGCATTCACATTAAGTGAAGGGGCTCACCTCAGTAAAAATAAACACAAAACATCAACAGCAAGGAGTATAATTTTTCTACATGGCTGCCCTAAACACACTTGCTCGTTGCTGCATTACATATTTTAAAGCGCATTGTCACAGATTTCACTTTCAGATTATCGGCACTGTAAACCTTATAAACCTTATATACACTGAGTGGCCAGATTTTTATGACCACCTGACGTTTGTAGGCAAATTAGCTATAATTAGCTATAATTTCGCGCTGAAGTTGCTAGAGGGCCAGACCATTATAAATAGGGAAGCAGGTCGTTTACCACGACAGTAGAAGTGATTTTATATGAAGCTATGGGTAAACAACGCGATTTAACAGCCTTTGAACGTGGGATGATTGTTGGCGCTCTGAGCCATGGAGCGAGTATCAGCAAAACAGCAGAATTCGTTAAATGTTCAAGAGCAGCTGTTTAGTGTTTAAAGACTGGACTGTCAGCCGAAAATCTGGGTTTGAACGCGCGAATTGTGGCCGTCAGCGACTAGTCAATGTTAGGGCAGAACGGAGAGTGGCAAGACTGGTACAAGACAACAGAAGGGCAACAGTGCAGTGTCAGATTCCTTGCATATATTCTCTCTCTCTCTCTATATATCTCTCTCTCTCTATATATATATATAGATAGATAGAGAGAAAGAGAGAACATTTCCTGGAGCATCTTGGCAGCACACCATGGGTTAAGGTCCGCCCCTCTTAACCCACAGGACACGTGATAAATGAAGGCTCCTCCAAGCCATGCTCATTCTTTTTTTCTATCCTCGCCATAGGACCGTGATAGTTTCTTTCAGTGTTGTTTCTTATTTCAGGCTTACCTGCCGTTCGGCAGCCCCCCAGACAGGGTCAGTCTCCCCTGTGCTGCAGATCCTCCTCTTATGGTTTTAAATATTCCATGCATTGGGTGTCCGACCTCGAGGCTGCAAGTGAACGCCTCTGCGTTTGCCAAGATTCAGCCATTCCTTTCTGCCTCTCCTAGGGCCGGGCTCCCCGTACTGCTCGTTCTGTTATCTCTTCTATTTCTCATTGGAGCACGTCGGCAATAGAGGCTCCACCCATCCGGAGTGATTGGCTGCAGCTGACTCAACTAGGTGAGTATTGCTCGTGTGCGCAGGCGCGGCCGTGGCGTTCACACTTGCCCTCAAGAAATCGGTATTTTCAACATGGCGGCCGTTTGCCTCTCGGACGTATTGCGCATGTGCCGGTGTCTCTATATATTTTTCAATTTGTTTGCTCGTGGCAGGCTTCTGGTGATTGCTGAAAGCGGACAATCGATTTTCTGCACCCTGCGGACCCTCATTATTACCTGATCTGCTCCAGTGAGTACCTTTCTGATTGTTTGTTTTTTTTTTATTCGCACGTTTTCTGCTTGCTCTGTATCTCCTTCTGTTGCGGCCTACTATACTTTGCATTACTCTTCCTTTAGGAATGGCTGACAAAGCTGCTGTCAGGGATACTCCCTCTCAACAGAGGTAAGGGTTTGGTCTGTTAACGCATTAAAAGAGACAGTGAGTGGTGTTTCTCATAACAAATGTTGTGATTTCAGCCCTCCTCACGAAGAACAGACGGCCTTACTCGAGATTGTCCTCTCCCAGGCGCAACAGGTCAAGAGGAAGAAGTGCTTCCAGGCGCAGTTGCAGGGAGACTACCTCTCACCGCTCACGCCACCATCATCGCCCAGAAGTAAAGGCATGTTGGATGTGTGGCGGACAAGCACTGCCGGGCAAATTGATCTGCCAGTCCTGCCTCACCGAGACTACACAGAGGACACCCACTCCTCCTACAAATTCACTACCTCTTCTTGTACAGTCGGCGAGAGTAGGTCGCCAAGATGGAGGTCCGAGTGGTCATCCGGAGGGGCCATCCACATCTCAGCAACATACCGAGCCTACCATGGATGGCTCACAATCATACACCTCTGAGATGGGGGATCTTCCCTGCCCCACGGGTTTTGACTTCAGTCTTGTGGAACAATTCATTGCAGCTGTTAAGGAAGCAATAGACTGGGAGGACACTGTTGTGGAACCGGCCAAGATTAGGCAACATTTTCCACATTTAAAAGAGATCCACCGCTACCTTTCCTTACATGGATGAGATAAAGGAGCTTATTACAGAGCAATGGAAGCAAGCGGAAAAGGCACCGAATGTAAACAATCGCATTTCCAAGTTGTACCCATTCAAAAGAAGATGCATCACCTATCCTCAACTCTCCTTCGTTAGTCGACGCGGCGGTGATGGGTCTGGCAAAGCATATTACCTTACCGATGGAGGACGCAGTCTCCTTTAAGAAACCCCTTGATCGGAAGGCAGATCTAGATATGAAGAAAGCGTACCTGGCTTCAGGAAATGTGTGTCACCCGGCTATTGCACTGACTTCTGTCTCACATGCTATTTCCACTTGGACCGGTAATATCGAGCAATTCGGAGGTCAGTCGGGAGAATATAATTATCACTCTGCAAGAGCTGAAGCTAGCGGGTGACTTTATCGGGGAAGCAGCCATTAGCATCACAAGATGTACAGCGAGATCAATGCTTGCTACCATTACCTCTAGAAGAGCACCATGGTTGCGCCCATGGATAGCGGATTCCGCATCCAAGACCAGCTGGTGCCGCATTCCATTTAATGGATCAAACCTGTTTGGACCGACGCTAGATGCGGCAATTTCAAAAGTTACCGGAGGAAAATCTGGTCTCCTCCCTCAGGATCGGAGCAAAAGGTGCCCGAGATTCAATCCCAACAGGAGACCCTTCACGGAGCCCTTGCCAGATGCTCGGGCCTACCGTCCGGGTAGAGAGTTCAGGAGAGGAAGGAGAAGTACTCAGTCATCCCTTCTCAAATTTCCTAAAGCGAATGCAGTGTCTCAATCTCAGCCGTCCAAGAAGTCTTTTCTGACGGTCAGCGGTCCCACACGGGTGAGGTGGGGGCATGTCTGCGGTCTTTCACAGGTGCCTGGCAAGAGATTTTTCAGGATCCCTGGGTGCCATCAACAGTGTCTTGGGGTCACAGATGGGCCTTCACAGGACCGCCGGGAAGCAGATTCATTCCAACGCCCCTTCCATCTCCCAGCCACAAAGCACAAGTATTCGCAGAGTACATTCTCACTTTAATCAAAAAAGGCGCCATCGCCGAGGTTCCTCTGGAGGAACGCTACTCCGGATTCTACTCTCCCATGTTTCTCGTGAAGAAGACAGGCGATCTAAGGCCTGTCCTCGACTTGAAAGATCTCAACAGACCAATATGAGTACCCTCCTTTCGCATGGAATCACTGCAATTGATTCTCCCCTCTATTCGGCGACTGGATTGGATGACTTCCATCGACCTCTCGGATGCCTATTTCCACATCCCTGTCGATGTAAAACTCCAGAAATACCTACGATTTGCAATCATGGGATCACATTTCCAGTTTCTGTGCCTCCCCTTCGGCATCTCTACAGCACCTTGCACCTTCACAAAACTTCTACTTCCAATCATTGCCCACATCAGGCTTCAGTGAGTACGTGTTTTTCATTATTTGGACGACATACTTCTGCTCGACGCGCTACGGACCTCCATTTCGCTTCCAGAAGAGAAAGCTCTCATTATACGGCACAAGGTTCGCCAGACAATATCATCTCCATGGATGAATGCACGCAGATGCCCGAGTCTACTTGGTACCCTCTCCTCTACCATACTGATGGTGTGATGGGCCCATTGGAGACTACGTGTCTTTCAAGTCCACTTCCTCAAACAATGGAACAGGGTAGATCTTCACCAGCGGATTGTCATAACAGCAGGTATGGCTCAGTCCCTCTGGTGGTGGACTTACCAACGCAATCTCCAGAATCATCATCTCATCTGTCCTCCACAGTCAGTAGTAATCACCACAGACGCAAGCCTCCATGGTTGGGGGGCACACTGCCAGGGCTTGGCAGCCAAGGGCAGATGGTTCTTTCGAGCCCAGGGGTTGCCCTCCAACATTCTGGAGGTGAGAGCAGCTTTCATGGGCCTTCTTGCCTTCTCCCAGACCATCCGACATTGTTCCATTCAATTGCGGATCGACAATCATACGGCAGTCGCCTACATTCAGCATCAGGAGGGTACACACAGTCGGTCTATGCTGCAGGAGCTCGAGCCGATCATACATTGGGCTCAGGTTCACCTGTGGCACCTGTCAGCAATTTACCTATCTTCAGCATGGTGACAGATCATTGAGGCTTAACTCAAATCGGCCTGTTTGCGACTCCCTACAACAACAAGACCACTCTATTTGTAACTCGCTTTCCGTGCAGCCAGGCAGTGGCAGCAGATGCTCTGACCTGTCTATGGTCCTTCACTCTGGGGTACGCCTTTCCGCCCTATCCTCTCATACCGAGGTTTCTACAGTGGGTGGCTGCATTTCCAGGAGTGATCCTTGCCATCTTGCCGTACTGGCCCA